ACATTTGACAAGTTGGATTTTCTGATTTACTAGCTATTTAGATCGGACAAGTCATGACAAGGATATATAATTTGTGTTTAAGCCATATTATTTTGAAAGATTTTATTGGACCAAATCTTCAAACTAAACATTTGACAAGTTGGATTTTCTGATTGACTAGCTCTTTAGATCGGACAAGTCATAACAAGGATATATAGTTTGTGTTTAAGTCACATTATTTTGAAAGAATGTATTTTAAAATAGTAGATTGATGAAGAATGTGTGGTTAAAAAATGAGGAAAAGTTTTGGATTCAGTTGGATTTTTTTATTATTATTATTCTGTCTTGGCTTCGTTAAAACGTGCAGAAGGCTAGACAAGAAGATAAACTCACGTAGTCACGTTCGTTCTCTTCTCTTCAGACTCAGAAATCTTAAAACATTTCCAGAATCCCATTCGAATTTGTATCTTTAATTTCATACTTTCTTGGGATTCTGAGATCCAAATAAGAAAGAAAGAAATCACTTCATAACATTCTCATGAACCCTGAAGTTTGTGTGGTGGTGGTTATGGTCGACTTACGATGTCATGTCTCGTTTATCGTTTTCGTTTTTTATCATGTTATGGATTAATGGGTGTTGCAGAAGCCAGAAAATAGTCCAAAAAAAAGAATTTATGCTGCAAAACTGGTGGTATTGAAGCTCTGGATAAGTGAGGGATTGGTATCAATTTGTTTTTCTTTGTTATAGACCTTATCCAAAAATGGGTTTCTGTTTCTTTAATGCTATCTTGATTTTCGGTCTGTTTTTTAGGTCCTTTGTTTCCCAAAATCCCAATACAGATGATTTCTTTATCTATGATTTCTTGCGAAGAATGGGCTTAAATTCCACTGAAGGGTATGATTTTTCTGGCTCTTTTTGTTCATGGAAAGGGGTGTTTTGTGATGCCAAAGGGGAATATGTTGTTAAGTTGGAGGCTTCTGGTTTGGATTTAAATGGTGTAATTCCTGATAACACCATTGGAAAACTGAAAAATCTGGAATTTTTGGATCTAAGCAACAACAAAATTACTGGTCTGTCTTCTGATTTTTGGAGTTTAAGTTCACTCAAGAATCTTAATCTTTCATTTAACCAAATTTCTGGAATTCTTCCCAGCAATATAGGGAATTTTGGGCAACTTCAAAGTTTGGATCTTTCTTTTAATAATTTCTCTGGGAGTATTCCTGAAGCCATAAGCTCCCTATTAAGTTTGCAAGTTCTTAATCTCAGTACAAGTGGGTTTGAATCAGTTATACCACTGGGGATTTCACAATGCCGGTCGATGATTTCCATTGATCTTTCTAGAAACAAGCTTAATGGTTCTCTTCCTAGTGGTTTTGGTGCTGCATTTCCTAAGTTGAGATTCTTGAATCTCGCTGAAAATGAGATTCGAGGCCGGGATTCGGATTTTTCAGGGATGGCATTGATCAGTTATCTTAATCTTTCAAGCAATCTGTTTAATGGTTCTGTTGTTGGTGTCTTTAAAGGACCATTGGAGGTGATTGATTTGAGCAGTAATCAATTTCAAGGCCACATTTCTCAGGTAAATTTCCTATCCAGCTTCAATTGGTCGAGATTGGTTTATTTGGATTTATCTGAGAATGAGTTTAGTGGGCACTTTTCCACTGACCTAAATCTTGCTGAAAATCTGAAACACCTTAATCTTGCACACAATAGATTTATCGAGCAACCATTCTTGCAAATTGACATGCTCTCCAATTTAGAGTATCTGAATTTGTCTGGAACTAATTTGATTGGTGAAATTCCGAATAATATATCCCACATGAGTAGTTTGAGAACGCTTGATCTTTCCAAGAATCACCTCAGCAACCATATTCCTCAGTTCAATACCAAAAATCTTCGAGTTCTAGATGTTTCTTACAATGATCTAACTGGGGAGATCCCTTTGATGCTCTTACAAGAACTTCAGGAGATGGAGAGCTTCAATTTCTCGTATAACAAACTAAGCTTTTGTGCTTCAAAAATCTCTCCAGAAACCATTCAAGTGGCTTTCATTGGGTCAGTGAACAGCTGCCCAATTGCTGCAAATCCAGCTTTCTTTAAAAGAAAAGCTCCGAAACATAGGGGACTTGAGCTTGCCCTGGCTCTTACCCTCTCCATGGTTTGTTTAATTTTTGGGTTGCTCTTTTTAGCCTTTGGTTGTCGAAGAAGAACCAGAATGTGGGCTGTGAAACAAAATTCCTGTAAAGAAGAACAAACCATGTCGGGACCCTTTTCATTCCAGACTGATTCGACTACTTGGGTAGCTGATGTTAAGCAAGTAACATCCCTACCAGTGGTAATATTTGAGAAGCCACTGCTTAATTTCACATTTGCGGACCTTCTATCTGCAACTTCTCATTTTGATCCGAGCACGTTGTTGGCAGAAGGGAGGTTTGGGCCAGTTTATGCTGGATTGTTACCAGGTGGAATTCCTATTGCTGTTAAAGTTTTGGTCCATGGTTCGACCATGACTGACCAAGAAGCTGCAAGAGAACTCGAGTATCTTGGTCAAATTAAGCATCCCAATCTTGTTCCATTAACCGGATATTGCTTGGCTGGAGAGCAGAGGATTGCGATTTATGATTGCATGGAGAATGGAAATCTGCAGAACTTGCTCTATGATTTGCCACTAGGGGTTCAAACTACAGAAGAAGACTGGAGCTCCGACACGTGTGAAGAAAATGAAAATAATGTGATACAAAATGTTGGATCGGAAGGTTCAATATTGACTTGGAGATTTAGGCACAAAATCGCTCTTGGCACAGCTCGCGCACTTGCATTTCTTCACCATGGCTGCTCGCCTCCCATTATTCACCGAGATGTCAAAGCAAGCAGTGTTTATCTTGGCTCAAACTTGGAGCCAAGATTATTAGACTTTGGACTGGCTAAAATTTTTGGGAACGACCTCGAGGGTGAACATTCACGAGGGTCAGTTGGATATGTGCCACCAGAGTTTCTTCAGACAGAGACCGGTACACCACAACCCCTAAAACCAAAATATGATGTTTATGGATTTGGAGTTATTCTTTTTGAACTAATTACTGGGAAAAAGCCCGTTGGAGATTATTATCCCGAGGAAAAAGAGGCCACACTGGTAAGTTGGGTACGAGGATTAGTAAGGGGAAACAAGGGATCACGAGCTATTGATCCAAAAATAAATGGAGAAGAATCAGAGGAACAAATGGTCGAGGCTTTGAAGATTGGATATCTATGTACTGCCGAACTTCCTTCAAAGAGGCCGAGCATGCAACAAGTAGTTGGACTACTTAAGGATCTTGAACCGATCACACCATAATGAAGACACTTCAGAGGAAAAGATGGAATTATTCGCAATTTCTTTTCGTTTTCTTTTAGCTATGCTGCCTTGACGGAAATGCATAGCAGCCACCCTAGCTCGTTTGTGAATTTGCTTTTTTTCTCAGTTAACAACATTGTTGGTGGCTAAATCCTAAATGCTTAAGTTTTACAATTATGTTTGATCCTTAAAGATCGTATTCTTCTTGCTATTTTCTAAATTTTGCATACTATCACGTCATATAAATGCAGTATTGAACCTAAGATAGTTAAGCAATATATCCAATAGATGAAATAAAATCAATATATAAAAGCTTAAACTACTCTTCTTAACAAGACTGACCTTTTAAGATCATACTTCAAGTCTTAATACTTCTTTTATCTCTACGTTAGCGTAGGAACTAGGCAAGTACGTTATTTATAGAGATTAGGGAAATCTAAGATTCACTGTGATCAAGCTGCGAAACTTGTAAAGCCTTTTTGGTGGAATGGAGTGTACAATATTTGACAGTGTTAAAAGAAGAAATAAAGTCAAAATCCTATTCGTCATAATGTTGAATTGTATCCACGACTATGTAGTTAACACTAATTAATGCTTTTTAAATATATTACGAGCCAGTTTATCAAGATTTTTGAAAAATCAAAAGCAACTTTTGAGATTAAAAAGTTGTTTTTGAACCTATTTTTAATGGAATGTGCTATACGCACATGGGCATTGACACGCCGGTGTACACTCCCCTCGCAAGGGGGGCTCACGATTTTTTTTTTTAATTTGGTTTGCACACCTCCATCTTATGAGGAATGTGTTAATGTCAGTGTACAAATAGCATAATTTATTTTTAAATAATTTTTTGAACACAAATGTATACTCTGCAAATCTAGAAATGTGTGCTTACATCATCTAAATATGACTCCACAAGGCCATTATCTTGAAAAAATTCCCAAATAATTATGACAACCTCACTAATTGTAATTATAGCATTATGGACTTAATTATGGCTTTCAAATTGTGCTTAATATCATATTTAGTTTTATTTATTTATTTACACCCCGTTTGGTACCCTTTTTTTCAAAATACATTTTTCTCTCTTCTTTTCAATCACATATTCTTTATTAAAATAATGTTACACGTAAATAAAAAAAATTTCCTTATTTTTCAACCACACATTTCCATCAATTTACTATTCAAAAATACATTTGTACATAAACATATTTTCCAAACACCCTTTTATATATTTCATGTGTTTGGTTGTGCAGAAGGAATTGACGCTTTTGACTGTGGATAAGAAAAATCTGGACCTCTTTAAGGAATTTGTATAAAGTATGCTTACAAGTTTCTCAAAGTCAGAGAGACTTGCCATAAATATAGGCTGCTGTTAGAAACGTAAAGTGAGTCGTGATTATTTATGGCGATTGCACGGGTGATCTTAGCACCATCCACATTTTTGTCGAGTCGAGCTGGTTCAACCTGTCAAAAAAGAGACGAGTTAAAGCAAGCTTTGACAAAAGTAGACAAAATTAAGAAGAAAAAAAATCCAGAATGCCTAAATTTGTTGGACTAGGCAAGCGGTTAAACCTTGGCCGCCTTAAAATTTTTAAGGATAAATATATATGAACAAACAAATGTGTACAAAATGGGTTCCTTACTCTCACTAACAAGCGGTCCTCACGTGAATTTAAAAATCTCGGCTCGTGGTCCCCAACTCCTATTGTGAGTAGTGAGTAAAGGATTTTGTAAAAAAAGTTTGTAAGTGTTGCATGATCCAAATTTTAAAGTACGTACAACTAGGTCGATATGCTTTAAATTTGTAAGGGTGTGTTTGGTAAGTAATACTAGATAGGAAAAATGAGTATAATAAAAATAATTTTATCATCTTTTTTTTTTTTATTTTACTTTCCTAGATATATTGTAGACTAATATTATCCTACACATTGTACCAACACATGCTATAATTTGCGTTAAAAAGCAGTCTTTTAAGTTCCTGCCTACCATTGAAATTACTCTTTTGTCCATCTTCCAGTTTTCTTCTTGAATGGAATAATTAGAACAAACGAGAAATTTTCAGCCTAAAATAAAATAATGTTACTTTAATTACCTACATAATGAGCACTTTGACTGAAATAACCTAAAATTGAAGTTACTTATTTCTGATTATTTAATTTAATTATCATGCATCATTTGGTGGAATGATGAATCACAGCCAAAAAAAGTAATTATTTTCTTGGCATAATCTTGAAGTTGAAGCTTATCAGTAGTGAATGAATTATTGTGCCCTTCTGGGGGTGGGGTTTATAATGACCATAAGTAAACATCCAATATTCATTGTTTGTAATTATTTTTACCATATGAAGATAAAGTTAGTGAAACTTTGAATATTTTTATTGATTTGGGAAAAATCATCATTTTTAGATAAATCATCATTTTTCGCATAAAATTGGATTTGACTTCTAAAATTTGATAGTGGACTGAATACACATGTTTCGCAAGTAATACAGAATATAATTAGATGGTATAGTAAGTAAGATTTAGCTTGTGAGGTTGTGTTAACCTTGTTAAACATAATACCTCGATCTCACTACAACGATGGCGACAAAGCCAGGAGCCAGTGGTGTTGGTTGGGTCAAAATCCAAATATACACGATAGTTGAGGGTGTGCGATGATGGTTCTTTGTGGTAGTCATTGTGGTTGGGTCAAAATCCAAATCTACACGATGGTTAAGGGTGTGCGATGATAGTTCTTGGTGGTAGTCATTGTGGTCGGTGGCTATCGGTTCCGGAGGGGAGGTGGGGAGCTTGTAAAGTTAGTAAAGTGTGATTAAAAAGGTAGTAAAAGGAAACGTAAAACTTCACAATAAAGTGTGATTAAAAAGGTAGTCAAAGGAAATATAAAACTTCAAAATTAAAACAAGGGCTATGACAGCTATGTCAAAGTCTAGATTCAAGTGGTAAGAGCGAAGTTTTACCAAAAAACATTAGAATAACTTGTAAAAGGTATGGAGGAAGAAGGAAGCAATGTTGCGATTTTTCTTTGGTAGCCTCCCGATAAGTGAATAGTGCGGTGATGTTTGATAGAAGGACCTATATTTTGGGGCTTTTTTGTAAAAGTTGTGGGCATTCTTGGAGTGTCGTAAATCGCACAAAATTTGTAATTGCCACACTTGATATACAATTGGCTTTCTAAAGATCGTCATGTCTATTGCAATAATGAATAATATCTAACATGTTAATGAACAAGATTTTAACCTTTTTTTTTTGTTTTTTTAATTATATGAAGTATTGCATACCAAACTTGTTATTAATGTTTGCTCATAGATAGAATGGGCAAGAAAATAACTGCTCGCAAGCACAAGAGTCACAAGAGAATGTTAGACCGGAAGATATAAATAGAAAAATACACTGTTGAGATGATATTTAAGTATATAATGATAGATCATGCTAGGCACAACAATCAAAATGAAAATCTTTCTAAATATTATTTAACACAATTTAATCTCCCTCAGTAAACATGTCGAGTTTTGTTATAAGTGAAAATATTAATGGAAAAATAATTTCAAATACACTTTAAAAAATAAGAAACTTAACCACCTGATAACAATTTTGTGACTTATTAATTAATTAAATAGGTCAATGTCACAATAATACACTATTTATGATCACAATCATGTATTAGTCATAAATCGCACAAGGTCACAATTACAATTTAGATCACATATTATTTATTGATTACAAATTATCAATTTTATTAGTCATCATAATTCATGACAATAGCTCTTCATTCCACCCCACCACCATTGTCACCACCCAAATGCTATTGTCACCTCATTACCAACACCACCACCACAACCACCGCCGCCATGCAATTCTGTGCACAGTACCATCGGTCTATCACCACATAGATATGTACCAAACATCACTGCCACCACACTTACACCACCATGGAGATTTGTACACATAGACATACAAATTTTTGAAATTGGTATTTAAGGTTTTAGGGTAATTTTCTCAATATTAATATACTTTGATCAAGTTGGGTTATGAAGCAGAAATTACATTGCAGCCGATTTTTAAAGATTAGAATTCTAAAATAAGGTTTAAGGTCTAATTATTTATTAATCAGGTGATAATTTCATTGTTAATACCACTTTACAATCAATTTTTACGGTGCGTTTGATTACCAATATTTTTCCATGAAAAATGTGTTTTTTCCACCAAAATTCTTACTTTTGTGTTGTTTGATTGCCTTTTTTCTATGAAAAATATTTTCTCACTTTTAGTCACCTGACCATATTTTCCTCAAAATCAAGGAAAATATTTTCTTTAGAAGAGTAAGATTTTATTTTCTAGAAAATTCACTCCCTCTCATCTACACATCAATAAAAAATGGACAAATATAATATTTTCTAGGTTAAAAGTTAAATTAATCAAACACATTTAATTGACAATTTTCATGCAAATAAATTCTAGACAATTGAATTACCTAAAATTATTTTCTTTCCATACAAATTTCATACTTATAATCGAACGCACTCTTAGCCTAATAACATCCCCAAACCTATCTCCTTTCTCTTTTCTCTTAGTCTACCCACTCAACTTTGCATAGCGGCAGAGCAAATGCCTTAAATTTGGGAAGTATGCAACATCGACTCTTCAACTCTTCCCTCTTTGCGTGAAGCTCAATTTGTCGTTGTGCGCGATGTGAAGAACACCGCTTGGTGGGACTGTGCGCGCTGACAATCTGCACTAGGTTCGTCGATTTGTATTGACGACCTAAATTGCTGGGAGAGGCATAACTGTTGCAAGCTTGCCTTCGACAGTAAGAAGGACCAGGTTGTTTGGAGAAGGTATAATTGCTACAGATTTAGAAACTGATGGTAGTCACACAAGTGCTAATCCTCACCGGCCAATATACTGGTCTGGTGGCATTGTTGATGGTGCTTATGGTGGTGGTAGTGGTGGTTTGGGAATGCTACGTTTTTCAAGAGGGGTGGCGTCAGGGGTGGTGGTAGTGTTGATGCTACTTGTGGTGGTAGTAGTGGTGGTTTGGGACTGCTGTGGTTTTCAATAGTGGCAGCATCGAGGTGTGGTGGTGTTGTTGGCAGCTTGGTGGTGACACTGCCAGTGTGTGGTGTTTAACCAGTTGTAGTGTAGATGTGGTGTGTGGTAGGTTGATAGGTTCAGATCTGGTTGGTCGTGGGTGGCAATAGTGGTGAGGTGGTAATGTTGTGGTTGTGGTTGTGGTGTTGTGTTGGTAGTGGTTGTGGAGGTGGCGGAGGCGACGACGGGATGGGATGAAGAGTGTTTGTGACCAACTATTTGATTGATTTGTGACCAAGTATTAGTGGTGGATTAGGATCGGGTTTGGGTATTTGGTATATGTGACCAATTATTTGGTTCTTTGTGACTATCTATTAAATTGCGACTTTAAAATTTGATAATTTATGACTAAAAAATAATGTGCGACTAATAAATTTGAAAATATGTGACCAATAGATAAATTGTGACCTATAATTTTTTCGATCTATGACTAGCGAAATAAACTATGACCTATAAAATATTTGATTTGTGACATCAAAATAATTTGCGACCAATTAATTTGATAATATCTTACCAATAAATAAGTTGTGATCTATAATTATGTACATGTGACCATTAATTGTATAATTGTGACCTTATTACATTTAATTAATAAAATATTTTTAATTAATAAATAAATACCTGATTTTTGTATTTTTAAACTTAAGACCTGAAAATTGAATTGATGATACTTAATACCTAATTTATGATTTATTTTTTTCCCCTTTTATGAATGTAATGGACCAATAAACATTTGATGGACTTATGTTCTTCCCAAAACCTTCCACCATTATGAGAAAATGAAATTGACGAAAATGACACTAAAACAGGGAAGATATTGTAACAAAGCTTCATAATTCATAGGCATTAATTTAGATAATATTTTGTCTATGGTGTGGTTGAGGACGTTAAATGCACAGACACACGGGAATATCTGTTACCAGCAAAACAATTAAAATGATAAAAAATAATATTGTGAAATCTCAAAAATATATATATATATATATATATATATATATATATATATATATATATATATATGATGATTATTTCAAGCTATTTGAGGAGAGTATTAAGTTGAAGAAGATAAATAGCTCTGCATTAAGAAATTGCATGATCTTGAATTAAAAAAATAAGAGACTAGAAATAAAATTTGAGGAGTTAACTAGAAGTTTGAATATATTGGAGATTGTAACAAAGTCATTAGAAAACAAGATTAAGACTCTTGTAAGTGATCTTGAGAAATCTAATGCACAACTTTTTTTTTTTTTGAAGTCGCGAGTTTCAACTTTCAACATGAGATTGATTTCCCTTTCTCATTCTTTCTAATTTTGCTTAACCATCCCGTGTAAACTGCCTGACATTCTCTATGAACTTTCTCATTAATAGACTTAGAAAATTTAATACAAAGACTCCTATAAAATTAAAAAGAAATTAGGTAATTTATTATACAAAGAATTGTGAAAAAAGAAAGGAAAATGATAAAATGAACAAAAAAAAAATGGAAAAGAAGCAAAATGATTTTTGCATGGAACAAAACGATCAATATCATTTTACCATAATATCCATGGTAAATCTCTTGATATCTATTCGTCCAATTAATCGATTATTTCAATTGACAAAAATCGAGATTTGAAATTCTAGAACCCTTGAAAATCAACTAAGAACATATCATTTCAACCCTATACAGCAAATTCATACACACACAGAAAAATAAAAAAAGAAGAAGACATTTTTAGATCTAGATTTATTAAGATATACTTTAAAAAGTCTAGAGAGGTAGTATTTGTTAGAGAGTGAATAGATTACTTTCCCTAATAACTTAAAGGTTTAAATGAATTTAGTTCAACATGGTATCAAAGCAAATAAATACTTGAGTTCAAGTGTCACGTTACTTATTTGTCAACATGCATTGTGCACGTCATGCATTTGTTTAAATAGTAAATCATGTAGTGAAGTGCTTTATTAACAAGAAAAATGAATATGTGTCACCCTTTTTACTTAAGTTTTACACATGATGGTTCACACTATTTATCGTAATATTTAGTGGCTGCTGAGTTTTTCTAGCTAATAATTTGTTAATTTGTAAGTCATCTTGTAGCTAGTTTGATTATGAGACTTGTGACATTTGTTCTAGTAGACTTTAAATGGATTCTGATGTTCAATTTATCTTTGCATGTATACGGAAAATTCGAGAATAAATGCAGTTGGTTTTCATTTCCCAATTAGACATGCTTTCCGTGAAGTACTTGTGGACGATATTATAGTTAGTTCTTAAGAAGTGCTTTTGTTACTGTAAGTCATGCTCGATATAATGAATTAGACAACCTTAAATCTAATTAAAAATGAAAGACGTTATATAATCCTGTTCAATTCATAGTGTTACTGGTTTCACCTACAATATCATAGCATATTGCACACAATAATGACCTTTTCTTAAAAGAGGAAAAAAAAAGAATTATAAAAGTATGGACAAATTGTCTCGTACGAGGATGGCAAAGATCACTTGAGGTTTTCATTTGGTTTGGTCTCTTGGTCCATCTCTTTGTGCCCTTCTGCAATAAAGTGAAAAAGTACAAGTAAAAACGAAAAGATAAGAAAAGAAATTGTTATAAAAAAAAAAAAAAAAAAGGTTAAACCCTAACCTTAAAGGTCCCCCACCATCTCTGCTCTGGAGTATCGTGAAAAAGGTAAATCGTAGGTTATACCTCCAAGGGTATATGGTGGAAGGCTATTTATACACTTGCACTTACCCAAGAGTCAAATCCATATTTCAGGATTTGAACCTTTGACGCAGCAGCTTCAAGTAAAGCTAGATTTCTCCACCCTCCCCTTTTACCACTTGGAGATGTGCCCTAGGGGCAAAAGAAATTGTTATTAATGTATGTATAGATGTCAAACGCTAATGTGGCTATCAATTGCAATCACTCATCCCAAGTGGACGTTATTGTTATGCCAAATCAACACTTTAAATTTTGGGAACTGCTACGTTGATCGATTTCTATACGCCAATTTACAATCTATATAACTAAATAACATTTTTTTACTCGATAAACTCGAAAAGCATTAAAAGCTTAAATTATATTGGAGTGAAATGCAATGATTTAGTAGACACAAATTAAAGTACCGAAACCTTATTGGAGACCAAATTCAATTGACACGATTAAAGTAGAATGACTTAATTGAAAGTCGGCCATTGATGAAATTAACCCGCACCTTAATTGTAGCTTAGATATGACGACTTGAAGATAAAAATATAAAGAAGAAGTATGTGTTAATGACAATAAATATAAGCAACCTCCAAAAATAAGCCTCGGATAAGAAGGATTCGAGTCAACTTTTTTCCTTCCTACTTCGTTGCCCTTTCACACTTTCTAAATTAATGGAAGAATAGAGTTGAAAAAGAAAAAATAATTTTTAAATAAATATGACAAACAAACCCTCTATCTATTTGAAATATGAAAAATTAAGAAACTATAGTAGTTTGGAAAAAAAATTAAGTGCTTGTTTAGTAGGGATTTTGTTAATTAATTTTTTGACCGTTAGAGATAAAGTGAGTCTTACCCGTGAGATAAAAATTCAAAAATGACGACTGAATTAGTAAAATAACGGTAAAAAAAAAATTGATGTTAATTGAATTAAAATCTTTACCAAATATGCTCGACAAATTAATTTTACTTCGTTCAAAGGATAACAAATTTTCTTCTATTTCCAACTCTCCTAAAAAAAATTTAAAAAGAAAAAGAAGAGTTTATTTTCCCTCTCTCCTACCGAAAACATCCCTTAGCAAGCCAATTTTCCCGTTTTGTTTAGTGTAATTATTTTGCCGGCCTAAGGGTATTAGTGTAATATTAGTACAAGAACCAGATTCAACACTAGTCAAAACAACTGGCCCAGAAACCCGCACAAAAATCCAAACCCGGAATAAATGTCCGATTGACGTAATTAAATTCCCGATTAGCATAATTTAATTATAATTAAATTTCCCTACTTTCCAGTCATAAAATCCTAACTCCACGCCACTCGCCAATATTCCCAACTTTAAAATGACAATTTACAACCTTCGTTACATTCATTACCCTTCTTCATTCTCCGTTAATAATATCTTAATAAGGGGTAATTGTGTCATTTAACATCGACGGTTCGATAAAAAGAGGAAGCCTTTACCTTCTCTTTCTTCTTCGTCTTCACAAAACACGCACTTACGCTCTATTGTGTGTGGGAATCTGGCCACGGAAATGAATGAACAGGCCGCAAAAACTCTGGAAGGAACGGAAATGGAAAATTCGAAGCCACTCAAGGAAGAAGAAATTCGAGAAAAAATTGGGAAAGATGATGAACGGAGTGGAGGAAGTAGTTGTTTTCCAGTTCAGAGTACTTCAATTGGAGTAGCAGAAGAATCAAAAGAATCTGAATTTAAAGTTCTTCCGTCCGCACAATTGTCGGAGAGTGATTTCAAATCCAATTTTAGTTTCTCGTCTGAACGTCTCTCTGGTACCTCTGATTCCTTCTATTAATCGGTGCATTTTGTTTATAATTTTTAAATGAATTCTGCCGATGAAATTTTCGTGTGCATTTGTATACGTTAGACTAAAGCAAAGTGATTGATGAATTTTTGTTCGCAGAGGTGCCGGTGGAATATTCTCTGCAACCGCTAGTCTCGGATGATGAAATTAAGGTTAGCAGCAAGTTGCGTGGTCCATTTTTCGAATCATTTTAGATTAAATTTGACCTCTTGGTTTTTCATACGATAAAATTTATTGGATTGCAATTGTTCTTTTCTCAAATATTTTCCCTTGAAAATGAGTTGAATTCGTTTGTTGATATAGACTCTTGATTAGTTTAATTTGACATAAAATAAAAAGGTGAAGTGGATTGCACAAGAACGCAGAATCAGAATTTAATTTGCATGTGAATTATTCGCAATTTCTTTTCGTTTTCTTTTAGCTATGCAGTCTTGACGGAAATGCATAGCAGCCACCCTAGCTCGTTTGTGAATTTGCTTTTTTTCTCAGTTAACAACATTGTTGGTGGCTAAATCCTAAATGCTTAAGTTTTACAATTATGTTTGATCCTTAAAGATCGTATTCTTCTTGCTATTTTCTAAATTTTGCATACTATCACGTCATATAAATGCAGTATTGAACCTAAGATAGTTAATATATCCAATAGATGAAATAAAATCAATATATAAAGGCTTAAACTACTCTTCTTAACAAGACTGACCTTTTAAGATCATACTTCAAGTCTTAATACTTCTTTTATCTCTACGTTAGTGTAGGAACTAGGCAAGTACGTTATTTATAGAGATTAGGGAAATCTAAGATTCACTGTGATCAAGCTGCGAAACTTGTAAGGCCTTTTTGGTGGAATGGAGTGTGCAATATTTGACAATGTTAAAAGAAGAAATAAAGTCAAAATCCTATTCGTCGTAATGTTGAATTGTATCCACGACTACGTAGTTAACACTAATTAATGCTTTTTAAATATATTACGAGCCAGTTTATCAAGATTTTTGAAAAATCAAAAGCAACTTTTGAGAATAAAAAGTTGTTTTTGAACCTATTTTTAACGGAATGTGCTATACGTACATGGACATTGACACGCCGGTGTACACTCTCCTCACAAGGGGGCTCACGAATTTTTTTTTTTTAATTTGGTGTGCGCACCTCCGTCTTATGAGGAATGTGTTAATGTCGGTGTACAAATAGCATAATTTATTTTTAAATAATTTTTTGAACACAAATGTATACTCTACAAATCTAGAAATGTGTGCTTACATCATCTAAATATGACTCCACAAGGCCATTTTCTTGAAAAAATTCCCAAATAATTATGACAACCTCACTAATTGTAATTATAGCATTATGGACTTAATTATGGCTTTCAAATTGTGCTTAATATCATATTTAGTTTTATTTATTTATTTACACCCCGTTTGGTACCCTTTTTTTCAAAATACATTTTTCTCTCTTCTTTTCAACCACATATTCTTTATTAAAATAATATTACACGTAAATCAAAAATTTTTCCTTATTTTTCAACCACACATTTCCCATCAATTTACTATTCAAAAATATATTTGTACATAAAAATATCTCCCAAACACCCTTTTATATATTTTACGTGTTTGGTTGTGCAGCAGGAATTGACGCTTTTGACTGTGGATAAGAAAAAACTGAACCTCTTTAAGGAATTTGCATAAAATATGCTTACAAGTTTCTCAAAGTCAGAGAGACTTGCCATAAATATAGGCTGCTGTTAGAAACGTAAAGTGAGTCGTGATTATTTATGGCGATTGCACGGGTGATCTCAGCACCATCCACATTTTTGTCGAGTCGAGCTGGTTCAACCTGTCAAAAAAGAGACGAGTTAAAGCAAGCTTTGACAAAAGTAGACAAAATTAAGAAGAAAAAAATCCAAAACGCCTAAATTTGTTCGACTAGGCAAGCAGTTAAACCTTGGCCGCCTTAAAATTTTTAAGGATAAATATATATGTACAAACAAATGTGTACAAAATGAGTTTCTTACTCTCACTAACAAGCGGTCCTCACGTGAATTTAAAAATGTCGGCTCGTGGTCCCCAACTTCTATTGTGAGTAGTGAGTAAAGGATTTTGTAAAAAAAGTTTGTAAGTGTTGCATGATCCAAATTTTAAAGTACGTACAACTAGGTTGATATGCTTTAAATTTGTAAGGGTGTGTTTGGTAATCAATACTAGATAGGAAAAATGAGTATAATAAAAATAATTTTATCATCTTTTTTTTATTTTTTATTTTACTTTCCTAGATATATCTTGTAGACTAATATAATCCAACACATTCTACCAAACATGCCATAATTTGCGTTAAAAAGCAGTCTTTAAGTTCCTGCCTACCATTGAAATTACTCTTTTGTCCATCTTCCAGTTTTCTTCTTGAATGGAATAATTAGCACAAACGAGAAGTTTTTGGCCTAAAATAAAATAATGTTACTTTAATTACCTACATAATGAGCACTTTGACTGAAATAACCTAAAATTGAAGTTACTTATTTCTGATTATTTAATTCAATTATCATGCATCATTTGGTGGAATGATGAATCACAGCCAAAAAAAAAAAAAATAAAGTAATTATTTTCTTGGCATAATCTTGAAGATGAAGCTTATCAGTAGTGAATGAATTATTGTGCCCTTCTGGGGGTGGGGTTTATAATGACCATAAGTAAACATCCAATATTCATTGTTTGTAATTATTTTTACCATGTGAAGATAAAGTTAGTGAAACTTTGAATATTTTTATTGATTTGGGAAAAATCATCATTTTTAGATAAATCTTCATTTTTCGCATAAAATTGGATTTGACTTCTAAAATTTGATAGTGGACTAAATATACATATTTCGCAAGTAATACGTAATATAATTAGATGGTATAGTAAGATTTAGCTTGTGAGGTTGTGTTAACCTTGTTAAACATAATACCTTGATCTCACTACAATGATGGCGACAAAGCCAGGAGCCAGTGGTGTTGGTCGGTGGTTGATAATATGGTCACAGAGATGGTGGTGGTTGGGTCAAAATCCAAATCTACACGACGGTTAAGGATATGCGGTGATGGTTCTTTGTGGTAGTCATTGTGGTTGGGTCAAAATCCAAATCTATACGATGGTTAAGGGTGTACGATGATGGTTCTTGGTGGTAGTCATTGTGGTCGGTGGCTATCGGTTCCGGAGGGGAGGTGGGGAGCTTGTAAAGTTAGTAAAGTGTGATTAAAAAGGTAGTAAAAGGAAACGTAAAACTTCAAAATTAAAACAAGGGCTATGTTAAGGTCTAGATTCAAGTGGTAAGAGCGAAGTCTTACCAATAAACATTAGAATAACTTGTAAAAGTTATGGAGGAAGAAAGAAGCAATCTTGCGAGTTTCTTTGGTAGCCTCCCGATAAGTGAATAGTGCAGTGATGTTTGATAGAAGGACCTACATTCTGGGGCTTTTTGTAAACGTTTTGGGCATTCTTGTAGTGTCGTAAATGGCACAACATTTGTAATTTCCACAATTGATAAACAATCGGCTTTCTAAAGATCAAGTCATGTCTATTGCATTAATGAATAATATCTAACATATTAATGAAGAACAAGATTTTAACCTTTTTTTTTTAAATTATATCAGGTATTGTATACCAAACTTGTTATTAATTTTTGCTCATAGATAGAATGGGCAAGAAAATAACTGCTCGCAAGCACAAGAGTCACAAGAGAATGTTAGACCGGAAGATTTAAATAGAAAAATACGTTGTTGAGATGATATTTAGTATATAATAATAGATCACGCTAGGCACCAAAAAAAAAAAAAAACTTTTTAAATATTATTTAACACAATTTAATCTGCCTCAATAAGCATGTCGAGTTTTGTTATAAGTGAAAATATTAATGGAAAAAATAAATAACCACAAAGATTTCAAATACACTTTAAAAAATAAGAAACTTGATTACCTGATAGCAATTTTGTGACTTATTAATTAATTAAATAGGTCAATGTCACAATAATACACTATTTATGGTCACAATCATGTATTAGTCATAAATCGCACAAGGTCACAATTACAATTTAGATCACGTATTATTTATTGATTACAAATTACTCATTTCAATAAATACAATAGTTCATGACAATTGCTCTTAATTCCACCCCACCACCACTATCACCACCCAAACATTGTTGTCACCTCATTACCAACACCGCCACCATGCAATTCTGTGCAGAGTACCATCACCACATAGATATGTACCAAACATCACTGCCACCTCACTAACACCACCATGGAGATTTGTACACATAAATTTTTGAAATTGGTATTTAAGGTTTTAAGGTAATTTTCTCAATATTGATATACTTTGATCAAGTTGGGTTTTACGAAGATGAAATTTCATTGCAGCAAGTTTTTAAAGATTAGAATTCTAAAATCAGGCTTAAGGTCTAATTATTTAATAATCAGGTGATAATTTAATTATTAATAATAATTTAAACTTAAGTTAATCCCCTATCCACCCACTTCCCAATCAACTCTTACGGTGTGTTTGATTACCAATATTTTTCCATGAAAAATGTGTTTTTTTAACTCAAATTCTTAATTCCGTGCTGTTTGATTGCCATTTTTTTATGGAAAATATTTTTTCACTTTTAGTCACATGACCATATTTTCCTGAAAATCAGGGAAAATATTTCCTTTAGGAGGAGTAGGATTTCATTTTCCAGATAATTCACTCTCTCTCATCTGCCCACCAATAAAAAATGAACAAATATAATATTTTCTAATCGAACCCATTTAATTGACAATTTTCATGCAAATAAATTCTAGGCAATTGAATTATTTAGAATTTATTTTCTTTCCATGCAAATTTCATGTTTGCAATCAAACGCACCATTAGCCTAATTTCATTCACAAACCTATCTTGTTTCTCTTTTTTCTCTATCTACCCACTCAACTTTCCATAGCGACAAAGCAAATGCCTTAAAATTGGGAAGTACACAACATCGACGCTTCAACTCTTCCCTCTCCATGTGAAGCTCAATTCGTCGTTTCACGGGACGTGAAGAACACCATTTGGTGGGACTGTGCGCGCTAACGATCTGCACTAGGTTCGTCGATCTATATTGATGACCTAAAATGCTGGGGGAGGCATAACTGTTGCAAGCTTGCCTTCGACGGTAGGAAGGACCAGGTTGTTTAGAGAAGGTATAATTGCTATAGATTTAGAAACTAATGGTAGTCACACGAGTGCTAATCGTCGACGGCTAATATACTGGTGTGGTGGCGTCGTTGATGCAGCCTATGGTGGTGGTAATGGTGATTTGGGAATACTACGTTTTTTTCAGCAGGGGTAACGTCGAGGTGTAGTAGTAGTGTTGATGCTACTTGTGGTCGTAGTAGTGGTGGTTTGTGACTGCTGTGGTTTTCAACAGTGGTGGCATTATGGTGTGGTGGTGGCAACTGCCAGTGTGCAGTTGCAGTGCATATGTGGTGTGTAGTGGGTTGATAGGTTCAAATCTAATTGGTGGTGATAATGGTGAGGTGGTAGTGTTGTGGTTGTAGTGTTGTGTTGTTATTGTGGATGGTGACTGTGGAGGTGGTAGAGGCGACGACGGGGGGATGGAATGAAGAGTGTTTGTGACTAATTATTTCGTTGATTTGTGACCAAGTATTAGTGGTGGATCCGGATTAGAGTTGGGTGTTTGGTATATGTGACCAACTATTTGATTCTTTGTGACTATTTATTAAACTGTGACATTAAAATTTGATAATTTACTACTAAAAAAATAATGTATGACCAACAAATTTGAAAATATGTAATCAATAGATAAATTGTGACCTATAATTTTTTTGGTTTGTGACCAACAAAATAAACTATAACTTGTAAAATTTTGATTTGTGACATTAAAATAATTTGTGACAAATTAATTTGATAATATCTAACCAATAAATAAGTTGTGATCTATAATTATGTACATATAACCATTAATTGTATAATTGTGACCTTATTACATTTAATTAATAAAATATTTTTAATTAATAAATAAATATTTAATTTTTGCATTTTTAAACATAAGACCTGAAAATTGAATTGGTGATACTTAATACCTAATTTATGATTTTTTTTTCCCCACCTTTACGAATGTAATGGACCAATAAACATTTGATGGACTTTATGTTCTTCCCAAAACCTTCCACCATTATGAGAAAATGAAATTGACGAAAATGACACTAAAACAGGGGAGATATTGTAAAAGCTTCATAATTCATAGGCATTAAATTAGATAATATTTTTTCTATGGTGTGGTAGAGGAGGTTAAATGCACAGACACACGGGCATATCTGCTATCAGCAAAACAATTAAAATGATAAAAAATAATATTGTGAAATCTCAAGCATATTTTTTTTTGAAGTCGCGAGTTTCAACTTTCAACATGAGATTGATTTCCCTTTCTCATTCTTTTTAATTTTGCTTAACCATCCCGTGTAAAATGCGTGACATTCTCTATGAACTTTCTAATTAATAGACTTGGAAAATTTAATACCAAGACTCATATAAAATTAAAAAGAAAATCAAGTAATTTATTATACAAAGAATTGTGAAAAAAGAAAGGAAAATGATAAAATGAACCAAAAAAAAGGGAAAAAAAGCAAAATGATTTTTGCAAGGAACAAAAACAATCGATTAATATCATTTTACCATAATATCCATGGTAAATCTCTTGTAATCTATTCGTCCAATTAATCGACTATTTCAATTGACAAAAATCGAGATTTGAAAATCTAGAACTCGTGAAAATCAACTAAGGACATATCATTTCAACCCTATACTGCATATTCATACACACTCAAAAAAATTAAAAAGAAGACATTTTTAGAGCTAGATTTATTAATATTTACTCGAAAAAGTCTCGAGAGGTAGTATTTGTTAGAGAGTGAATAGATTACTTTCCCTAATAATTTAAAGGTTTAAATAAGTTTAGTTCAACATGGTATCAAAGCAAATAAATACTTGAGTTCAAGTGTCACGTTACTTATTTGTCAACATGCATTGTGCACATGTCATGCATTTGTTTAAATAGTAAATCATGTCTTGAAGTGATTTATAAAAAGAAAAATGAATATGTGTCGCCCTTTTTACTTAAGTTTTTAAACATGATCGTTCACACTATTTATCGTAATATTTAGTGGCTGTTGAGTTTTTCTAGCTAATAATTTGTTAATTCGTAAGTCATCTTGTAGCTAGTTTGATTATGAGACTTGTGACATTTGTTCTAGTAGACTTTAAATGGATTCTGATGTTCAATTTATCTTTGCATGTATACGGAAAATTCGAGAATAAATGCAGTTGGTTTTCATTTCCCAATTAGACATGCTTTCCGTGAAGTACTTGTGGACGATATTATAGTTAGTTCTTAAGAAGTGCTTTTGTTACTGTAAGTCATGCTCGATATAATGAATTAGACAACCTTAAATATAATTAAAAATGAAAGACGTTATATAATCCTGTTTAATTCATTGTGTTACTGGTTTCACCTACAATATCATAGCATATTGCACACAATAATGACCTTTTCTTAAAAGAGGAAAAAAAAAGAATTATAAAAGTATGGACAAATTGTCTCGTACGAGGATGGCAAAGATCACTTGAGGTTTTCATTTGGTTTGGTCTCTTGGTCCATCTCTTTGTGCCCTTCTGCAATAAAGTAAAAAAGTACAAGTAAAAACGAAAAGAAAAGAAAAGAAAAGAAATTGTTATTAATGTATGTATAGATGTCAAACACTAATGTGGCTATCAATTGCAATCACTCATCCTAAGTGGACGTTATTGTTATGCCAAATCAACACTTTAAATTGTGGCAACTGCTACGTTGGTCGATTTCTATACGCCAATTTACAATCTATATAACTAAATAACATTTTTTTACTCGATAAACTCGAAAAGCATTAAAATCTTAAATTATATTGGAGTGAAATGCAATGATTTAGTATACACAAATTAAAGTACCGTCACCTTATTGGAGACCAAATTCAATTGACACGATTAAAGTAGAATGGCTTAATTGAAAGTCGGCCATTGATGAAATTAACCTGCACCTTAATTGTAGCTTAGATATGACGACTTGAACATAAGAATACAAAGAAGAAGTATGTGTTAATGACAATAAATATAAGCAACCTCCAAAAATAAGCCTCGGATAAGAAGGATTCGAGTCAACTTTTTTCCTTCCTACTTCGTTGCCCTTTCACACTTTCTAAATTAATGTAAGAATAGAGTTGAAAAAGAAAAAATAATTTTTAAATAAATATGACAAACAAACCCTCAATCTATTTGAAATATGAAAAATTAAGAAACTATAGTAGTTTGAAAAAAAAATTAAGTGCTTGTTTAGTAGGGATTTTATTAATTAATTTTTTGACCGTTAGAGATAAAGTGAGTCCTATTTATGAAAGAAGAATTCAAAAACGACGATTAAAATAGTAAAATAATAATTAAAAAATTAATTTTAATTGATGTTTAAACTGTACCAAAGAACTCTTAATCTATAGGCTATATCAAAATCCGGAACCATCCAAAATATGCTACATTCGCCTGTCACTTTAATAATTTATTAAACTAATCGTGCACCCGTCACTATAAATAATAATCTATTAGCTACCACCCTTGAGGTCACGTGTCAATTTCTTCATACAAGTGCACACGCGCTTTCGTCAATGGGTTTAAAGAATTTTAGGTAGCAAAATATTTGCAATAATTGTATCGCCTTTCGAGCCAAAATTTCTTTGGTTCATATGCATGGCTGTGATATGCATTTCTTGTAAAGCTTCCACGAGGATTCGTCTTCGAATTCTCTTCGTCCCTGACCATGCCATCTCTTTGGCACCCGGAAAATCTTCCGACCACCGTTACATTTTTTATTTTGTCTTTAATGCACCGATTCATAGTTTTCATTTCATTCTATTTAGTCTTTCATAATTTCCAAGAGCATTTGAAGTTTTTGATCAAATACGGTAAGGCTTTTAATCTATTTTGCATTGCATTGCTTTGATTTTGTGTTGCAGAAGAATCAAAAGAATCTGAATTTAAAGTTCTTCCGTCCGCACAATTGTCGGAGAGTGATTTCAAATCCAATTTTAGTTTCTCGTCTGAACGTCTCTCTGGTACCTCTGATTCCTTCTATTAATCGGTGCATTTTGTTTATAATTTTTAAATGAATTCTGCCGATGAAATTTTCGTGTGCATTTGTATACGTTAGACTAAAGCAAAGTGATTGATGAATTTTTGTTCGCAGAGGTGCCGGTGGAATATTCTCTGCAACCGCTAGTCTCGGATGATGAAATTAAGGTTAGCAGCAAGTTGCGTGGTCCATTTTTCGAATCATTTTAGATTAAATTTGACCTCTTGGTTTTTCATACGATAAAATTTATTGGATTGCAATTGTTCTTTTCTCAAATATTTTCCCTTGAAAATGAGTTGAATTCGTTTGTTGATATAGACTCTTGATTAGATTAATTTGACATAAAATAAAAAGGTGAAGTGGATTGCACAAGAACGCAGAATCAGAATTTAATTTGCATGCATGAATAATTGATAAGCTAATCTGTACTTTATGAGTTGCATATTGGATGTCTTCTTTTTCTATTTGAATGGTCAACATGTGTTTCAGCTTTGTTTATGAGAATTCTTTACCTATTATGCTACCATTACTAGAGTGCTGCGTATGTTCTTATCTTCATATTTGTATCCCCCCATTTTTTTCTTACCATATACAGTTTGAATGAGTTCGAAAAATATATGTTAGTTGAATACAGGTTTCATGGTTTTGTTAAGTCGGTTGTATCATAGGGAATATGGCTCATCCAGCTCCTGATGGCTAACTGGGTTAACTCTATTTTTAATATACAAAAAGTTGAGGCGAAATGACTGTTACTGGATATTTTCATTTGCTCGAGCCCGGGCCTTTTCATTAACTTCCATTAAACATATCTATCGGAACTTTTGATAATTAAATGGTTGTAAAGTTGAATGGCTAACTAGGTTGAGCTTCTTCTTCTTCTTTTTTTCCCTTTTTTTGTTTAAATAAAAAAAAGAAGATTGTGGCTAGATGACTGTTTCTGGGGAGTTTCATTCCCTCTAGTCTGGAAATGCCTTTCTTTAATTGGCATCTGTATGAAAGGACTTTCTGATACTGAAATTGTTGTAAATATTTATTGCTAACTAGATAAAGATCTCAATGTGTATATTATACAAAAAAATTGTAGCTAAATAACAGATTTTGAGTAGTTTTATTTCCTATAGTAGAGTTCTGTTTCTGGAACGTTCCACTCCCTCTAGTCTGGAAGGCCTTTCTTTAATTGGCGTATGTATGAATCGGACATTCTGATACTGGAATTGTTGTAGCATCTGATGGCTAACTAGATAAAGATCTCATTTTCTTTATATTGCTTAAAAAGTAGTGGCTAAATGACAGTGTCTGGAAGTGCCTTTGCTTGAATTGCGATTTTTCATATCAATCAGACCTGTTATACTGAAGTGAATGGATAATTTATCTATTCACTTATGTGTTCTTGCAGCAACTGGCTTCATTAATCCATGTTTTCATGCATATCTTGGCTTTTAAAAATATTTCATCCACTTGACAGCATGGCTAATGAGCACTTATGCTTACTTTTTGTTTATACATAGAGCAAGTCTGTTGTTGACTTAATTTTTTCTTATGTATGACAGAGGCGCACTGCACATATTTGATAATAAACAGTATGATTCCATAATTTCATCCTCGTATTCTTAATTATCTCAGGATCAAGTAAGAGTCACCCTCGAGGAACCTTTAATTGGTAATACTGGTCGCCATGTTGAGACACATAACCTGAGAAAGGTATATGATGGTCCGTCCAAGTTGAATCTCTCCCCAACTTCCACTTCAGAGAATATTTCACCAGGTTCATGTTCAGCTTTACAAGAAAGAAAATCATCACCTGTAGAGAATGGAAACAACTCATGTCTGGCAGAACAAGACAGGCAGAATTCTTCAAACCCGAAACTGTTATCAGCACCTAAGCTGAAGACTTCTACTGATGGGTACAATTGGCGGAAATATGGTCAAAAGCAAGTAAAGAGTCCTGAAGGTTCTCGGAGCTATTACAGATGCACGTTTTCTGAATGTCATGCCAAGAAGATTGAGTGCTGTGATCAGTTTGGCAATGTCATTGAGATTGTTTATAGAAGTCATCACAATCATGATCCACCTCAAAAGGTAAACTGCACAAGGGAAAGTAGGCATGCGTTATCAGTGGTGCCGGCCAATGAGAGTGACAATGCAGCTCGTCCACTAAGAGCTATTAATGAGTCCTCTTTGGAAAAACCTTCAGTGGAGATGGCTCAGATACCCGAGACAAAGCAACAGGATGCAACTAATTCTGATGAGACTGTGGAAATTAGTACAAAGGAAGAACATGTTAATGAACTTGAACTTAAAAAAAGGCAAGTTTCTGATTAAGTGACTGCCATTGCCAGGGAAAGTAGGCATGCGTTATCAGTGGTGCCGGCCAATGAGAGTGACAATGCAGCTCGTCCACTGAGAGCTATTAATGAGTCCTCTTTGGAAAAACCTTCAGTGGAGATGGCTCAGATACCCGAGACAAAGCAACAGGATGCAACTAATTCTGATGAGAATGTGGAAATTAGTACAAAGGAAGAACATGTTAATGAACTTGAACTTAAAAAAAGGCAAGTTTCTGATTAAGTGACTGCCATTGCCTTTCAAGTTATGTTACTTATGTTTCTTTTCCAGCTGATAGTTTGCTAGCAAATAAATCTGAGACTATTTCACCTCTTTGAATTTGTAGGCCGAAGAAAAGTGTCACCGGCGATGTGGTAACCATCGCCAAACCTGGAAAGAAATCTAAAACTGTTGTTGAGGAGGCTGGTGATGTGGGGATATCAGGAGATGGCTACAGGTGGCGCAAGTATGGACAGAAGATGGTGAAAGGGAACTGTCATCCTAGGTGAATTCCCAGTTTTCTATATTACATTGCGACTAACTCGTTGATTAGATTTATTTCATTATTGTTTTCCCTAACTGCCCAGTTTTCGAGAACTATGAGAAACTTCAATATGGTCTGCATTTTTGATAGTTTCTGTCTCTGTCCCTTCTGCACATCAACGTGGAATCGCATAATAATTCTTTCTTTTTCTAATTTTCATAGCTTAAAGTGATTTATCAAATTGGAAATTATTATGAACCTGATTTGCACGAGGGTAAACATATATAATTACATTTCGCACTCAGCACCACCTCCCCCACCCCCCACCCCCACCAAAAAAAAAAAAAAACACGCATTCATGGGCCTACTCAAGTATGTATGAGATCATCACCCGTAGCAAGTCTTTTTGAGCACAACAGGTCAACAAAGACATGGTGATAAAGATCTGTTAGTTATATATACATCACCTGGCTACTGGACTTGAAAAATGACTAAAAGTCACATAACGTTTTAGGCCCTCGATTAACTCAACAGTTTGTATTGGTAAATATGGCATATATAACAGTATAACGTAGAAAATCAAACTAAAGGAAAAAGAAGATTAAAGTGAGGGAGAGAGATTATAGCTCTTGATCTATACACATCTCTAAAAGATATCTCTTTCGAAACGAACTCAACACTTCTGATCCAGGTATTCTAGAGAAATTCCCCTATGCAATGAATATTTATGGAGATCCACAACAAATTAAAATTAGAGCTTCCTCTAGTATGATACAGTCTCTATTTTGTCCTTGCTATTTCAAAATAATACTCACATCATTGAATAGCACTGTTGAAATCTTTGTTTACTTTCATTAATTTACTTGTGCTTAAGTTTCTCTGGTATCTGGAATGCCTTCTTCCTATAGCTGTGTCGAATGATCCCTCCAACCTTGATCCATAGTAAAATAACTATATTGTATTTTGATAAAATTACGTACAGCTCCGTGACTATAGATTGCAGGCTCTGTTTACTAGAGAAAGCACAATAGGGTAGATTTCTAGACATGGGCTCCTAACTTAGATATTTGAGCAGTACTTAGGGATAAATCATTAATATAGATATATAGTCTAATTAATGCTGCAGATTCCCATGTATAACTTTTTTAGGTAGCATTCACCTTATAGCACATTATTGTCTTTAGATGGCAGCCTTTCTACAATCACATCACTACCTATATCCTAGATATATTGTTCCTGCTCTTTCTGAGATAGTAAGAAAATGGGAATTTCTTGTCATAATAGTTCAACTCTTGTCCTGTGCATGAGTTTAATCCATTTCACCGAGTTCAAGACATGCTCAAAATTGTACATTCTATGTGAATCTTAGAATAGTAAAGTGAAAGGCAAATGTCAGCTGTAGATATCTGGAAAGTTCACGAGCCTATTAAAACCTGTGGTTGAAGGCTTCCATCACGTCAGTGACCTCAACTATGACTTGATCATAAATTGGAGGATCCTTTGGTACTTTGCGGGTTGTAACAATACAAAATGGATGGATCAGTTCAAATCCTCCTCGCTATTCTGAACCTTGCACTATAGTCATAATGTGTTATTTTTAAAATTTTTGGAACTCTTAATATCCAAATTATTTCTACTTCAAGCTCTATCTTATGTAGTGACCAAATTTCAGGAACTACTACAGATGTACATCAGCCGGATGTCCTGTTCGGAAGCACACTGAGAAGGCTACAGATAGTTCAAGTGCTGTAATAGTATCATACACAGGAGTACATGATCATGAAATGCCGGTTCCAAAGAAAACTCGAGGCCCAACAAGTGATCCTCTAGTTGCTACTGCATCTCCTGGTTCCTTGAACAATGTGCAAATTAATGAGACTGAAGCGTAACTAATAAGAAATCTATTAAAAGTTTAGGCATTGAATCTGGACGGGAGAAAACAGTGGGATCCGATCAGACCCCGGTGAGCATGGATTTGAAATAAAGCCTAGTTGAAACCGAATGAGGACTTCAAAGTGGGATGGACACCACTGGAAGAGTTATTAAGATACGTTGCTCTTAATGGAAGTATGTAACTTCAAATAATCTTATTTGATTATTTGCTCTTTATTTTTTCTTGTATTTTCTTCTTATTTTAGCTTTAGTATCGGTAATTTGGCATAGGTTGGTTATTGTGGTAGTGTTTTAAAACTGATTTTGGTTAACTTTTGTACATTAGTGTGGAACAAATGAATTAGGTGTCTTTTTATCGAGGGTTGATTATGTGCAAAATTTCATAAATCGTTGGTGGTGAGATTTGAACTCGGTGTGAATCTGATATCACGTTAATTACATCATCTTTAAGTTTTTAGAGAAATGTCCGTTAAATTCATTTTATTATCGTCTTTGTCAAAGGATGGATTCCTCATCGATGCAACGTGCAACTATGTGTTGATTGCAGAGAGGGTGTAGGGCGAGCGTTAAACCTACCAAATGAGCTGTAAAATGCACTTCTTAATCGTCATAACATATTGAACTTTACCTACGGGCTTGTGTTTTATTTAGTCCAACATATTAATTATAAACAACATGTTTAATACGTTGAATGGGACACAAAGATGAATCTTGTCATATCACATGTGACCTTTGGTTATTAAATGAGTTAAAAATCACTAGTTGAGATATTATTATACTAAAGGAAAATAAAAAAAATAAAAAATTATATTTCCAAAAGGCATTTAAAAAAAATTTGTTGACACACTAAAAGTGCAGTCCAAATCAAACATTCCAAAGAGTGAAGTCCAATTGGGAAGTTCAGGATAAAGGTCCAAACATGATTATTGATGAATGTAGTGAAAGCCCACGAATACAGTAACATCATCGTCCAAACTTGCAAGACGCTCAGAATCTGAGCGAATGGAGTGCCTTACGGTCGCCCAGAGCGATGACCCCGTTCTCGTCCAAACCTTCAAATCGCCCAGAATCTTAGCAAATATAAAATATTATGGTTATCCAGAATAGCAGTTATTGAGTAATCTTATCACATTCCACGATTCAAGGAGCCCAGTTGAAGGCGGTTGAGCGACAAAGAGTAATGGTAACAGTTAGAGAGGGCAGTTCCACGACAAGTTAGTCACCATAACAGAAAGTGGGTAGTTATAAAGCAATCAAGAAGTTTGTCATGAGGAAATCATCAAGAGAATATAAAAAGGAAAATAAGACATCGAGAAGAGGGAATCAAACACTCTCAAACAGAGAATATGTAATTTTAATTTCTTAACTTAAACTTAAACACTTCTTTTAGTACTCGTGTGCTTGCGCTCCTTGGAGGCATTCTGTTTATTTCCAATTGTAAATTATCGCTAATAAAACACCCATTTTTGGGACTTTATTTCAAGAGGTATGTTCCTTACACAATTGTCTGACCCCTTTTTTAATTGTTAGCGACTACCCGCGCGAAACAATTTGGCACGCCCAGTGGGACCTTGGTGTTTGGTGTTGAGGATACAAAAAGTGAAACAATATGCCTCACAAATTTGATAAGGAAGCAGCAAGTCAGGGAGGAGTCCAGTCTGTGATCGAGCGATATAAGGAGCAGCGAAGCTCTCCACGAACAGAGGGACAGAATCAAAGCTGTCACAATCATTACGAACCAATGACAGAGTTGAGTCCTCGAACCATGCGTGCATTGCTTGGAGAACTCACACAGGATGTCGTTAAACAGGTAAATCTACGAAATGTTCATAATATGGAAAGATTTACCCAAAATGGGAATGCACATTATGACAATATGGCCAAACAACTGAATACATTAAATGAAATAATGAATAAGTTAGTAAGCTAAATTTGTCAACCAATTGTGCCTATTGCAAGTCACTTTCAAGTTAGGACAATTTTAGGACATAATTCCCCAATCCTAAGTCCAAATCAAGGGATAGAACCACATTTTGGTCCGTCTACTTCAAACCAAGGGGATGGTGTAATGTCAAATCAGAATAGTGGTAATGGTACATCTAACTTGGGGGGTAACCTAAATGTAAGAGACAATGTCCTAAATAATGGACAGAATACTCCACGTGTTAATGATGGAATAAATATTCAGGCTAATGGTAACAATGGCCCAAATCATGGCAACGTTGTTGCCAATCAAGGACCAAATATCAGGCCTCAGGCAAATCAACCGATCAACCAATCTGTAGGAATTTCATATGACCCCAACATCATGTTAAGAAATCAAATTATGGAAATAGTACAGGATCAAAGCATATCCATGGGTTAGAGGGTATAAAGTGCCAGAATTCTCATTATTTACCGGTCTATGATATATGTCTATTCTAGAACACATAGGACGATTCACACTGCAAAGTGGTGAAGTAACCGACTGCCATAAAATGAGGTTGTTCCGTAGTTCATTAATAGGAGTAGCTTTCTCCTGGTTCAATAATTTGCCAGCGAACTCTGTTCAAACATGACAACAATTGAAACAATTGTTCCATGCTCAGTTTTATAAGACTGGGTCTGAAATTACTTTAGTCGATTTGGCGAATCTACATCAAATGTCAAACAAATAGGTAGAAGGTTTCTTTCAAAGGTTCAAGACAGTAAGAAGTAAATATTTTGTACCTTTGCCCGAAAAGGAGTTTGTCAAAATCGCACAAAATTGTCTAAGATTTGATTTGAAAAAGAAATTTCAAGACAGGGAATTTCCTGATCTTTTTCAATTGAGCGCAAACGTGATTAGGTATGAACGATTAATAAGAGAAGAAGAGCAAATGAAAAATTCTAGCAAGGAGACTTATTATAGAGACCCGAATTTTGATGTTCATACAATTAATGACAAGTATTACGATCAAATCGAAATGTGTTTGGCCGAATTAATCAAAGGAGATGCGTATACTTGTCCTATAATGGCTAAGTCTAGATCGTCGGGCAAGGATGAACCTATAAAAGATGAAAACAAAAAGGCTAGAACGTTCTCATTCGATGTAACCAAAGCTGACCTTATATTTGATAAACTATATATGGATAAGCAGATAAAGTTGAGCGATAAATATAAGTTGCCAAGCCCTGAACAAATCAAAGGTAAAAAATATTGTAAGTGGCATAATGCATGGTCACATTTGACTAACAACTGTTTGGTTTTTCGCTATGTGTTACAGGATGCCATTGAATCGGGACGAATTACGTTCGAGGATAAGAAGAAGATGACAGTGGATGAAAACCCTTTCTCAGAGCCACTTGGGGTGAACATGGTGACGACTGGTTTAAAAAATAAGTTGCCAAAATTCAAGTTAGTTATAGATGATGGAGAGGAGGACCCTGGGCCACACTCCAGTGTCTTTGAATGTATCAAAGAGAAGAAGCCTAAAAAGGATGAAGACATGCTGTGTGCAAGATGTAAAGGAGAAGTGAGTGCAAATACAGAGAAACTCGAGATATGACAGCATCACCATCGTCATAGTTTTTTCCAAATGCTCAGCCTGTTAGAGGGCGAGGTACATCATTCTATAGGGGACCGCCTTTTGAGAGGCAATTCAGGTCAATAAATAATGGGAGAACATTCAGGCCGCAACCTCGCCAACCAAATGTATGGCATTCGTTCCAGTATAATGCAGGAAGTGTGATACCCTTCAATGAGATGACTAGAACCCAACAAAAGCATTTTCAACAGAATTATGGACGAATGATGAGGCAACAACAGAGAGTGTCACATCCTAAGGTGCCTAAACTACTCGATATAGCCAATTAATACGTTCTTCAAGACAGTGAAGAGACTGGTACAGGTGAATCAATAGAAGAATTGTCAGAGAGTTCTTCTGGGAGATCGAAGTTTGAGCGAGACAGAAGGGATAAAGAAGATCCAGATCAGTCCCTTACTATTCAGTTCGGTACGTTACCTCCTGTCATGGCTAATAACTATTTACTAGCCAATGAGTTCAAGAACAAAGAGAAAGAAGAAGAAGAAAGGAAGGATAACGAAGAAGAAGCATGTGTGCTGGAATGTGAAGAAGGCGAACCTTCTAGAAGAGCATACAATGATGGAGAGGATGATGGTATAACGGACATCGAAGAGGAAATTAATCTGGAAGTAGAAAGAAGAAAGAGAGGAGTATCACGCAATACCCTGTTGAAGCAACTACATAGAGAAGGAGTTCGTGAAATGGATTTGTTGGGAGAACCATCTGGGCGTTCTTTCGATTATTATGTGTTGTATGGGACACCCAAGAGAAAAAAAAGAGAGTATCTCGCTTTGAAAAGTATGGGTCACCTCCAAGAATATTGTCTCCTCCCACAGGTTGGGTAACCGAATAAGAAGCATTAGAAAATAATAAAGGAAATTCAGGAAGCGGAAACTCGGTGCGACATACTGCACGTTAACTTATCACAAAAGGATAATTCAACAAAGAACAAGCAGGAAGTGGAAATAGATGCTGCCGAAAAGGTTATTTTTAAGAGACCAGCCATGAAGTTAACTAAACACTTGAGGTCATTGTACGTTAAGGCTTTAGTTAACGGTATATCTGTGGCGAAAGTACTTATCGATAATGGAGCAGCTATAAACACCATTCCATCTAAGATAATGAGGAAATTTGCAAAGACAGAAAGTGATATGATTCCAACAGAAGTCATCCTTACAAGTTTTAATGGAGGAGCAAATTCAGCTAAAAGGGTTATGCCATTGGACATAACTGTAGGGACAACTACTAGGACCACAGTCTTCTTCGTAATAGATGGTCCTACTAGTTACAATGTGTTATTAGGAAGGGATTGGATACACGGAAGTCGCTGCATACCTTCATCGCTCCATCAATGCCTGTTTTTCTGGAATGACAAGGATGAAGCAGAAGTGGTGCAGGCAGATCATAGACCTTTTGTCGCAGAAGCAAACTCAGTGGAAAGGTTTATGTACAAAGGAGATTACGGACCTTTCAGAGTAGTCCAAGATGGAGAAGAAACTCAAATTGTTGCACAAAGTGAAGAGCAATTTTCAGTAGATGCACTTACTGAAATGTTCGGTCAAATGAGGCCAAACATAGTGGCCTTAGAAGAGTCGATAATTGGAAAAAAAGTAATCAAGGAGTTTTAAATGAGTTGTAAGAAACAAAGGCAAATGGCCGATGTTCAGGCCTTCAAAGCTAAATAAATGGCTTTGAATAAAGAATGTAAAGACAAGACGAAAGAATAAACAACCTTGAAAGCATTGGGAGACAAATTGACAGTGTTCGAGTTAGAACAAAGTATTGATCGAGAAGTCAACAAGGTGGATTGTTTAGAAGAAGAAGTGCCTATAAGGGAAATGGACGATGAAGTAATGAGAATTA